ATAGTATGAATTATATCTTACGTATATTGCTTGTCAGTATTAACAATCTGCCACAACCTGTTCATTCCTGAATACCGATGATCCATAGGTACATACCAATAGGAATAGCTTGTCCACAGGCATACTTACTTAGAAATTGTTACGCAAACAGATAATAATACATATAACAATAATAACAGCACCATAACATTTATTGAGATGTTTTACGGCTGTTAGATTATTGTAAAAGGATCTTTATTAACAATAACAAAGCTATAATACCAATTTAAACCCGATTTTCCCGATAAAAGAATGAAGAATCGACTGCTGTATATTCTTGATAAAACCAATTAAATAACATATTTCAGCAAATGATCGGTTTATGGCATATCGTTGCTCAAATTGACGAACTGATACATTTAAACACACATGATTATGTGCATAATTGTTCTTTTGTATAGAATATACAGCGTTCTGTTTGCTTGCAAAAGTAATTTATTCAAGTTTGCCCCTATAAATGAATTTATTCTGTCACTTAGAAAGACAAGAAGATGAATTGTATGAATACTGGAACCATCCTAATTTGAAAAAGGTCAAATTGAAGGAAATGAAAATACCACAATCGTGTTTACAAAATTATAATGTCGTACGGTAAGTATGCCACCTTTCAAGACTGATGTAACAAAAAGCTTACTTGTATGATAAATTTAGAGTTTACATTACCTAGAACATTGATAATATATTCTGATTGATTCGGTATATAAAAGGCTTTTTACAAAAATCTATATCTTTGTTTTAAAGAAAACTAAACTGATAGATGTCATAGTAAGTCTTAAATGAACCTTATGCCCTAGAAACGAATACTCTTTTTTCCCCTGCAAAAAGTAGAGCTATATGTTAATTTATTTGTCATTAATGAAAAGCAGTATGTAAACAAATTAGTGTTTTGACTAAAATACAATATTTATATAATGACTCTAATTAAAGCCACTAGCCTCCAGATGGTCAAACGAAAAAAAAATGAAATAAACTTTCAAGTTGACGATAAATACTGATATAGTTACGTTTAATCCCTTATTACCGACATCTTAATTCAAGAACGAATGTTGACAATGCGCCAATATATCGTATTTCTTCCTTTCATAATCTCCAGCATAACTAACACAGTAGCCAATATAAAAAGGAGATAATTCATTCAACAAGGTCATGTGTCACAACAGTGGTTCGGAAAAATCCCTGTATCCGGTTAGCCGGGCGTATATCAATTTTCGTCACTAAGTAGGCCCTTATCATATTTCCAGCTAAAGTTCAAATCTATATTGGCTGTCATATATATGATATAATTAATTCATTATAATTTGTAGTGCCACAAATTACTACAAATATCAAAACCAAAGAAGTTTATTCGTTTCTCTCTATGTTTCAAACGATCCTGGATCCCGTGATCTCCGGATCACAGGTTGGAATAGTGTGCGGTGTCAGCCCGGTACAGAATTAGACCTAGCCCGTTGTAGTCTAGAAAGAAGTTCTTTTCAATTTTGAAGTGGCCTATTTCAAGTCATCCTTGGTAAGACTGAATACATTTTAAGTATATTTTTTGTAAATGTGTACATGAAACTCTGGAAACAAAGTGATCCCTCGAATCATAAATCATAAGAAAATTACATGAAATTTCATTTCTGAGTACTTTGGTTGTTTTAGTGCATCTTTGCAGGATTTCATTTCTTGGTGGAAGGTTTTAGGCAGAACCATGCGCCAGAATACACCACAATTGTTAGTTTGTTTATTTTATAGTACTTACATAAATTTAAAGAAGGGCTGATGGATGTTTTTGCTGAATATTGTTGGAAAGTATTGTTGTTGACAGTTATAGCCGCTAAATGCCTGTACGGGATATGCTGTGTTCAGAATTTAGTCTTAGATGTGATGCATTTACTTCAGCATATAGAGTACGAAAATTCAGTAGGCCGTCTCCGTACCGTACAGTCACGTGGTACTATAAAAAATATAGCGGATGAAAGAACTCCGTATGATAATAAAACAAGGTATTTTCCGTTGGTTAAAAAGCGAATTGATAGTTTTTAGAGCAAAATTGTTATAATATGCACTTTTCCAAGTTTAATTACGATTTCTTGCAACTATGTAGTGTTTTTTGAGGAAGGATTTTTGAAATATTAACAAAAGACAGTTAAAAAAAACTTTGTATATTAACTTCTGATGGTCTGTTTGAACAAACAAAAACAAAACGTTTGAATAAAAAAAATAAATTAAGGATTTCACGGGCATAATGTGCCTTTAATGAAAGTACATTATCTTTTTAAATTGAATTAAACATTGTTCTCATATTTTTATATATATAAAAAAAGATTTAAAATAGATAAATACAGAATCCCTAAAGAAAGCCCAACACGGCAAAAAGTTTTAAAAAACATAACTTCAATAATCAATGAGAAAAAAATCAACAATTTAAAAAATATACATTTCATCAAGTCCCTGTGTTGTTTATACTTACTATCGTAATGTTTGACGTAAGAGAATTGCTATTAAAATTTTGGTATTATTCTTTGAACTCCAACATCTTTTAACGTCACCAAAACCATTACGTTTCACTCACCCTTTATCTTATTTTTAAACAGTAATAGCAAAATATCTTACGCGTTGACCCTATATTTTTATTGCATAAATATTTTCCTCCACTATCTCACTACACGCTCGGAAAATTATAGCAAAATTCACCGTCTTGAATTTTTTTATTACACAATCTTCATTGCGATATCGCGCGATATTTGCATGAAATATGGACGTCAGAACGTAGAGAAAAATGACGCAGAATCGGAGACTGTTTAGTACATATTAAAGAAAGACATCATAACAAAGACATACATTTACTGAATATTATAAAATTAAAACGAAGAAAATCGGATGAAAATTGATAAAAATAGACTGGTTTACTGATAAAAAGACGCAATTTCGCCGCCACCGATAGAGGGCGCTTTGACGTCATAGTTACGCTGTTTATTTATAAAATAATGCTGCAGAAGTAAAGCTCACATATCTATATGTTTGTATACCAAAAATCATCAAGATCTGAGATGTTGTCAAATTTCGGTCGGAAAGTAGCGAGCTACCTTAATGTGATAGGCATCTTTTAAAATTAATTTAAACCTTGTTCTTAAAGTTAGAAAACAAAACAAAAACAAGATAACTTCATTAATCAAATTTAATTTGTTCAGAACATTTGTTTGTAACTGAGATAAAACATCCATTAATAAACCTCTCAATAAATCACAATAAAGTGCAGTATACACAAAAATAAGACAAGGTCTTAAAGTTTGAACGCAAATCTTAATTCAAACTAGCAACTTATGCAATAGCTTAAAATCATTTCATATTTCAGAAACTGTAAAAAAAAACAATAATAATTTAGGATAAAATAAAAAATTGTTTGCCGAAGCCATAATACCGTTCAGGTAGTTTTTTTACATATGGAATAGGGTGCATGAACTTAAATACTTTTATCAGTTTTACAAAGTAAAATAGGGTTGTCCTAAATGAATGCTTATCTCTTTCTTCAAGGGTATCAAACATGTTGTCAATACATTCTAGTACGTGGATATGTTGAATAGTGTTATGTCAAAATGGACAGATCTAGAAATGCTCAAGTCTTTTGGACGCAGCATGAATATAGCTGATATGCAAGCGAAACTCACTACAATATAAGTCTTTCTTTTAGTTAATCATTTCACCTTACAAAGTGCTTATAGGTGATTGTTTTAAAGAAAATATCGCTCTGTTTGTAATTTCATATAATTATAATCTGGTATTGAAGGCATGTAACCGTAAATAAAAAAGTTTGAAGTAAAATTACATATAAAGACAGACAGATAATAAATAAATAATGATGCTTTGATCAATAAACTGTTTTGTTATGATCAAACATTAATGAAAATTAAATAATGCTTTTATTGCACACTTTGTCGTTACAAGTCATTTCATATGTTTATGTCAATTGATAGTTTAAGAAAGAAGTGCGTATATTGAATGAATGTGAGACTTCAACAGAAGCCAGAAAGATACAATGTTCAAATCACGTTTCAGATTAACTTTACGAAGTATTACTCTACCTTTTTATTTGTATTCACTTAAAAATTTGTAAATCCCTAAAAGATTTTTACCTTCAGATTCATGAAACCTTTCAATTTCTTAATTTGTTAACAGAATGTTTTTTTTTTCAAACTGTCATACTGTAGATAATTTTGTTTCCATTGTCAGAATTCAAAAATGTATATAAGTTTATTATCTTTATAGTCATGAAATCTTACAATGGTTTGACTATTTAATAAAAGATCTAATTAAAATGAGTGAAATGTAAAAGTAATGAGAGTTATTAAAATAACTAGACGTATAAAATTCCATCCAAAAATTTCTTTGTTTCAATTGTTATTCAATCAAAATATAAATACACTCATAATTTTAATCCTTGATTTAGGATCGTATTCTTAAAGAAAAAATAATATTTTTTCTTTGACAATTTAAACCATTTTATTTTTTTATGCATCACGTTGCAAGACGAAGCAATTGATGGTGGGCGCAGTAATTATGCATTATTTGAACTTGTATGTGGGCTGTTTAATATTCTAAACTTCATAAAATGATATCAAAATTTAGCTTGGTCGTGATCTGAATATATATATGCATATATATGTCATATGTTTGTATTTATCTCGAAAAAACATAGATGTGAACAGCTTTATTAATTAATTAATTTATTTATTTACTTAAATATTTATTTATCTATCTTTTTATCTCTTTATTAATTTCTAAATTCAATTCTTTATTAATAGTTTGTTTGTTTGATTGTTGGATTGTTTACTTAAACGTGTTCTTTACCTTATTATAGTTACGAATGATAAAGTTATACAAAAAGAATCATGTTAAAAGACATACATTCTTATTTTTTGGAATTATATTTAAGACAACTAAATCGATTATTTTAAGCGATGAAATTAACTTTATCTTACCAAAATTTTGCACAATTCAATAATCCATTTATCATTATGATACTTGTCGAGACATAAAATAAGCCCGTTATTTCCAAACTAAAGCTCCGGTGAACTGTATGAAGCAACTATTTTTTTCAGTATATTGAATATGATGTAACATACTGAGCGGCACTGAAATCTCGTCTGCTAAACATATTCCAATACTGTTCAATATGAAGTGCACTAAAACCACACGCGTTTCAGATGATAGTAAACGTTTAATTTGACGTTTATCTTTCCCTACAGAATGTTAACACTTTGACTACAATCGTTTTTTTTAGTTTTAAATATTTTTTTGACATGTACGAATTATTACAAAAAACATAGCCTACAAACCTTCGATTGAATTTAATTAGAATTTCGACATTACTTATTTTCCCTGAAAATTGGAACACATTGATTAAGTGCCAATGTAAGAGGAATTAACATGTACAGACTCAAACCGAGTCTGTAATTCTCTTGTAATTTTGTTGTGATTAATGCTTCCGAGGGATAACTTTGTTTCCAGATTTTTATACTTCACAACAGCGGATGTCAAGTGCTGTGTGGCAGCTGTAAAAAGTTGCCCCGTGCTTCACTTTTAGTGTTGTTATATTTTTCTGGTCCTTTGGGATCATTGATGCCAGCACTATTAAGTGGTGAGAATTGAGTACCGCTCAGGCCGGTGCTAGTGGGCGTGAGGGATGTTGCATATTTTCATTATCCCTAGTGTACAGACTCAATCAAACCAAGTCTGCAATTTTGTTGTGATTAATGCTTCCGAGGGATAACTTTGTTTCCAGATTTTTAACAACAAACAACATGATTTTGATATCGGGTTTTAATTAAACCAGGACGTGGTTATTTATTTATAGAAAAGGTGTATTTGCTTCCCCAAGGCGTGCTTTTATTTTCAATGATAAAATTCGTATCCTTAATTAAAATATAATTGATTGCTTTTAATGTTTGTTTAACTGCGTGAACGTGTTAATGAAATAATTGCTATGGGTATTTAAACGTCGTCAAATATAAAGTACATATAAAATAAAACACTTTCCGAGGCAAAAACAAAATAGAGAAAATAAGAATCCCTAAAGAAAGTCCAACACGGCAAAATTGAAAATGCTGCAGGCTCGGTTTGATTGAGCCCGTTCATGGACGGTACAAGTCATATTAATATGGCGGTGTCTTTGTACATTGAACTAAGATAAGCAGTCTTAACTTTATAAACACGGATTGCAATATCCTCGATGAGCTTCAAGGTATCTTGCGATATGTTTCATATATAATTCCCGTAGCTTTTTATGGAATCCCGGCATTGCGTAGATGGTCTTCTTCTGTGTAATTCTTCTTCGTCGTGATAATTGAAATCCGCCCGGGACCATCGTTGTGATTCAGATAGTTTCGCTCATTTTTAGATTGTTTTTGACCATTTTGAAACTGTATATATCTTCATTCCCTTTCTATACGCAATCTTAAATCTTAAATACATTCGGATAAAATTTTCGAGTCATATAAACGTAAAATACAAGAGTCACTGCAAAACTCTTAATCCTTTCTTATCAATCCTCATACTTTAGTATTTCTTAGAATTTTGTCATTTAAATATTTTTGATACCCATTTATATTAAATTAATAATGTTGATAGCGTACAAAATGTTAAAACACTTCATCGCCAATAAGATTGTCCTTTTTTGATTTAGAAAACAAACTTTTCCATGAGACATCCTAATAAGTAAGAGTGAAATTAGTAGGTGTTTATCAGTTTATCAGAACAGATCTGATGATATCAGATTCAGACGATATTTGGATTTGATGTTTTTTTACAACATAATGAAATGCAAATGTGAAACACTCCGACATTGGCCTCAGGCTTTTTAATTAGAACCTTATACAATTGAGATTCCATGACAGACAGAATACGAACCTATAAATGAAAAGTCGCCGACAATGTGTCGAAATATGCAAAACATACATTCACTCAGATCGTAAAGAGTAATGACGTGAATGGTGATAATTTGTAATTCAGTTGTTTTTTTCCCGTATTTCTCTTCACTTTTTACATACCACACAAAGCGTTACATGGAATGCATAGATATATCTATTTTCTTATATATAAGAAAATATGCTTTTTTATCTTAGTCTTGATAAATGCTAAAATATTTTAATGGTCGGGGTACCCTCGGGACGGATATTTCGGTCTGAACCGCAACATATTACATTTATTATTATCCTTGATTATTGTTCTCATTTTCTTTGAAACTTCAATCATGGTTGAACTTGAGTAGCACCAACTTGCTAACTGAATTACATAAAAAAGGCGATGCATATAGACTTAACATGCAGCCAATTTTGATGTTTTTTTATCTGCATAGAAAGACATCATTTTCCTGTATGCATGGTTTATTCAACTAAAACTAACAATAATAAAAAATATGGGTTGCATAAGGTGATAAAATATAGAATGATAAAAATCTTTCTGTGAAGAAAATTTTCAATGTGAGCTTTAAACATCTGGTTCAGATATTACTCTTTAAATATAACTCTTTCAAGTTCTTTTACTCTGTTTTAAATGAAGTTTTAGCAAAACATGCGCCAATGAAATAAAAACGCCTAAAACGGGAGCACCAACCTGACTGGTTTACAGATGAAATAAAAAAAAACGATAATTTGTTAGTGTCATAATTAAGGAGATTTTGATCAGTACAAAATTTGTAAGCAACAATGTTGACTAGAAAGGCTATGAAAAAATCTTTAATAAAGCCATTAAAGAGAATAATGACTCAAAGTATGTATGGAAAAACTTGATAGAAGCTTCTAACATCAATCAAACTAAACGGATAACACTTCCGTCTATAATAGAAAAAAAATGATGGAGTAATTGAGAATGAATAAGAAATTATCAATGAACTAATTAAACATTTTTCAATATTTCAAATGTCTTTACCAAAACTACTTTATCTGAAAACAATTTGTCCACTTTAAAAGAAAAAAATATGGATTCATTGCCTTGATGGTAAAGGCCCCGCAATTTTACTATTATTCGTTGCATAACTTCTATTAGAAATAATAGCATTCATTTGGGTATTTTTCCTGATAAACTTAAGGAAGCTCGTGTCTTGCCTGCGTTTAAATCAGGAAGGAGAGACTTTTCTGAAAATTTTCGCCCCATTTTAATTCTACCCACCACCTCATATTTGACCGACATATAGCGTCACATCTTCAGGCACTTTTTTAATACACAAAAATTATACATGACAGACAATCAGGGTTTCAAAACAAAAATCTTGTAATATAGCATTACTTAAATTAATTGATGCCTGGATCAAAGATATTGATAATGGTAAAATAATAGGTGCTATTTTCCTTGATTTACGAAAAGCGTTTGATCTTGTCGATCATGAAATTTTGATACACAAATTGAAATGATATCATTTTTCTGAAAAAGCTGTTACATTTTTTCGTTTCTATTTATCAAACAAAAAACGGACAATTCAAGTAGATAATTAACAATCTGACATTTTACTGGTAAAACCAGGATTTCTCCATGGATCCATTCTTGTGCCCTTACTATTTTTTATTTATATAAATGAAATATCTATACTCTGTAATGATCTTAATATAGACTTTTATTTTATGCTTTTCAGTCGATTACTGATTTATCCGTGAAAATTATATTTGATAATTTCACAGTGAAAATTATCAAAATATAATTTCACACTTTTCAATGACGAAACTACTTTTTTAAGATTTTCCCCATGTGGTACCTCAATTTTATTTTTGCTGACTATTCCGACAATGTCAGGCTGATTAAAGAAAAGCAAAGCTGAAATTGATAAATAACTTACATATCAAAATTAAGAAAAAGAAGAAAACTTACAGTATGTCACTTCTATTCATTCAAATTACCAATCACCAAATATCGTCTCTTTAATTTTTTGTTTCATTTTTACAGTCTGAAAAATACATTCCTTCAACATGCAAAACTGCTCTTGATGACATTTGGGAATATTTAAGTATCCTACGAGCAATAACTGCCGTATGCTTTATGAAAACTTGAAAAGCAATGGCAGCTTTCACTCGAAGAATATGTAAACAACCCAGCGTTCGTAAGGCTTCCAAGTTTTCCAATTTCCTATCCACTTTTTTAATGTTTACACATCTGTCAACACTTATTTATTGTCTGTTACAATCCTCCAATAAGTTTTCTTTCTTTTAAAAAGGTGTAGGACTTACAAATCCAAATGATATCCCTCTGAATCAAACACAATTATTTTCCTCCAGTGAAATACACAACTTTAAAAATGGGGGCCGTTTACATTTAACAAAGCCAGGTCTTATATAAATTCGCAGTCAGTAACAGAAATATGGATGGATGGTTGGACTTTTTCTCCTACTAGAATTGTATGTTTTCATTATTAAAACAAGCAATCAGACATATTTTTTTAATAAAACGAATACTATCACTACCTTTTAACATTGATTGTGGAACTTATTTTTCAGCCCATGACTTCTTGTATTTAATGAGAAATTCGACTTTTTTGAGGCTCTCAATGGGGAAAACAAATTTTAATATTAACGTAAATATTAAGGAAATTTCGTTTTAACCTGTTTTTAAGCATAAAATAAAAAGAAAATTTGTTTGTTTGTTTGTTTGTTGTGTAAGATGTAATTTTATTTCATCTCGTGAACTTTGAACTACGCCACTCGTGAGAATACTGTTTTTAAAGCCCACTCGATGAAATAAAATTTCATCTTACACACAAACAAACAAATATCCTCTATGTATGCGGATGACTCTACACTTTATCAATCTTGTGACTGTTTACTGGAAATACAAGATAATTTACAAAAGATTAAAATTAAATTAATGATTGACGTATCCATATTAATATGTGTTTGCACCCAATAAAACAGCACGCATGATAATTGGTTCTTCAAAAAAGGTGAAGAAATGTAACCCTCTCCTACTGAAAGTAAATGATACAACTCTTAAAAATGTTTAACAAAATGTTATAAAGAATTTTATTATTATTCGCACAAAAAATTCAGTTTAATGCAAAATAACGTTTGATTAACAATGTAAAAATGTGTATCATGTGATTTTGTTACCGTATATTGTGTATTTAACACATGATGTTTTTTTTTTACCAAAAGATGCTAATTTTCTTCTTA